TTCCCACCGGCTGAGCGGTACCAGTCGGACATTATACAGATGAGCTGTTTATTCTGCTTTAGGCATTTAGTCATTTTCCAACACTTAACTTGAAGGTCAGCGAGGAAGCTGCGGTCAGAGGGGGCGCCCCGTCCTGCACAGCCGGCCAGGAGGTGCAGGCCCCGTGGGGGCGGGGCGGAGGACGCTACCCCGGTGGGCCCAGCCGCTGAGCGCGGCCAGTGTGTGGGCCCACAGGGGCGCCCCCTGCAGGCGGGGTGGGGTGCAGACACATAGGCGGGGCAGTGCCGTACAAAATAGATGTAGAAAATCCAGAAACGCTTTCATAAAAATAGGCTATAAAAATATAAACTGTAGTGAAAATATACAAAAGTATTAACACAGGCCGTAAACACCCCCTAGGTCACATTTTGGGGTCCCCAGTGGGGCGGGGCCTCAGGCTGCTGTGGTCTCGCTGGGGTGTCAGCGAGGTGGGCCCCTCCCTCTGGGTGCTGCTGGGAGAGTCAATCGCGGGGTCCCAGGCCTCCGTCCCTGCACCCGTGTCTCCAACCCCTGCAGGGCGGCACTTCCAGTGCCCCCAGGAGACCCACAGCCCGGCGCTGCAGACCAAGGGCCAGTCTGCTCCCAGGGTGGGTGCTGGTGGGCAAGACTCCGGGAGCCTCCAGAGCCGCCCCCAAAGGGTGACGACAGTGGTGGGGATCGGCAGGGACGGGAAGCCCGGTGGACTGGGGTGCAGGAGAGGCAGGGCCTGGGCGGAGACGCCTGGACACGCCTGCGGGCGGCCGGCCTGCGGCGCTAAGTATCCTCCTCGTCGCTGCCCAGCTCGCCCTTGTCGGGGCTGGCATCGCGCCCCCGCAGGAAGTCCTCGCGGATGGCCTCCAGCTCCGTCAGCTCCAGCCGCACCCTCTCCAGGTGGTGGGCGCGCCGGTTCCGGATCTGGCGCAGCGGGAAGGGGTTCAGGTCCCCAAAGGAGATGCTGACGAGCTTCCTGCGGGGAGGGGCCGCTCAGGGCTGGGCTGGGTCCCCGGTCTCCCTGGTTTTGCACCCGTGGAGCCATTGCTGTGCTCCCCCCCAACTGGGGTCCCTGATGCCCGAGTCTGAGGGGCCCCGAGATTGGAGCCCCGTCAGATGTAGGACACCCGCCTCCCCGCGGGCCCCAACCGGGGTGTCTGGGGAGCCCGTGCGTCCCACCCATCGGGGCGCTGGGGCCACAGGTGCTCCACGCCCCCCCCCCCCACAATCCTATGCACCCGACCCCGACCCCCGCTCCTCCTGGGCGGAGGCTTCTCCCTCGGCGAGAGGGGGCCTGTGCCCCTCGGGGCCGGCAGGGGGCGCCCAGGGAAGCCGGCTCCCCAGGTCACAGGCGCAGGGGCGTCCCCTGACGCGGCCCCAGATGTGTTGAGAGCCCATGGGAGCCCCGCACCCAGGTCTCCTGCAGGAGTCCACCTGGCTGTGCGGGGAGGGGGGGGCAGGGGCT